AGCTGACCTGAACTCACTATGTAGACCAGGCTGGCCTTGAACTCACAACCATCTGCCTGCCTCTGCCCCCCGAGTGCTGGGACTAAAGGCGTGTGCCACCACACCTGGCTGAGAATGTTTTATAGAACTAGAAAAATGTCTTCTAGAGTCTGTGGTGATTTCTGAGATAGGATATCAAACAATGAGGTTTTCTTTTTGATCACCTAAACAAGCCAGAGAATTTTGCTTTGAGTTTGTAGATAACCATATAGTTCTTAAGGAGGGCAAAGTTTATGAATACCATCACTGGATAAGGTTCAGTCCATATTACATCCTTATTTCAATACTGAAGAACTAAGGTTTTAATTTTAAGAGTGGTATATGATACATTTTTAGGCACTGGGAAATTTCCACGAATGCCTTAGTAACTACTTCTGCACTCTAGAGCAAGCGTAAGTGGGCTTGACTGAAATGTTTTAATCATTATTATAAGAAATATAAAATATACTGTGGCAAGGACTGGGGAAAACCTCAGTGGTACCTAAGCATGTGTGAGGCCCTAGGTTCAATCCCTAACACCCACCCACATGTGTGTGTGTATGTGTGTGTGTGTATTTGTGTGTACATATACAGTAAGGATTTCAAATTCATTTTCTAATAATACCTAGAAAAAGAAACATCCCCTTAAAATATTGATCTGAATAAAATGAGTTAAAACAGGGTAAATTTATTTGATAGAGAGGAGAACTTCTTTAAATGGAAAAAAATTATAAATTCATTGTGTCCCTTCCATTTAGTCTAGAGTTTAACTGATACCATCGTTTCACAGTTGTATTGTAGTTTAAGATTTAAAGTGGTTCTATCACAACCCCTAATCCCACCCCTTCCAGCTGTCTCCCTACCCCACACTTCTTGCCCCCTTCCCTGAGATGTCTGCTCACTGGATGGAGGACTCTGAGTTTTGTTCCTTCAGAGGTACTGGTATAAAATGAATTGCATCTTAAATCTTAAAAAGCAAGAGCTGTACCTTACACTCAGATAATAATCATGGGGCATAGAAATGTCTGTGCAACGAAAGACTAAGGCACCATTTTTCTTTCCTTTCCTTGTCTGCCTTGGGAGCAGAAGCAAAGACTCATGGGACACATAGGGTAGTCAGTATCAAGTCTTGTGACAATGCGCATCAGCCCACACCACTGGGTGCTTCTGTCTAATGCTGCCAAGCAAAAGACTTAAAACCCTACTAAAAGAATTTTCTTCCTTTAGAAATAGAGAAATAAAGGCACAATTGTACCTTATATGGGACAGTTGATGAATATTAACCTGAAAATCTTAACAACTTAGGAATAATATTGAAATGTTGTGGAATAGTTTATAGAAGTCATTTCTTGATTGTGGCATTGAAAAATATCTTTTGCAGCTTTCTTCCCAGCCAGACTATAATCAGAATCTATGAATATTTGATATATCAGCTTGACTTACCAGCAGATATTTTCTTAGGACTTACATTTTTTAAAAAATAATGGATCAAGTGGATCAACTTAGGGTTTTCAAAGGAGAGTTCTTAAAAATGATCCATTGGGGGACAACAATATAAGTAAAACTACTTGGAAATTAACTTCAAGATTTCAAAATGTATCAAGGAATGTAGACTCTCCTGTAATAATGTGCAAGATCAGAACAGCACTGTGCCACCTGGACACTTTGGTATCCAGAATGGCCTAAGGCTGATTCGTTAGGGAATGCTTGAAAGGGCTTTGTTACTAGGTGTCAAAGAGCTAGTTTCTGAGACCTAGTTTTAGTGGAGCTGGTGGTGGTGGGGAAGATGCCATCAGCTGAATGGGCAGGCAGATTCTGACCACAGGTTATTTCCTTGAGGATGGAATTCCAGTCCGCTACACGATGATGTCATAGACACGCCCCACTCGTCCCAGCCATTCCCTCACAGCCTGACGAACTCTGATGTCAGTCACGTGACAGGTCAGCTGGCTGATGCATGGGAACACTGCTGGCTGAAGGGCAGTGAAGATCTGATCTGGAAGGATCTGAATCTGATTGAGAACTGTTAGCACCATGTTGGTCCATGCCTAAGAGAAAGGATTTAAGACAATTACTGGGTGTCTCATAGTTTTGCACGGCAATTCAGTTAAGCTTTGGCAATCTGTAAAAGGGTTTCTCAGGATTTTGCTCTAATAAATTAGTCTTTAATAATTTACTGTGCCTATAATAAGTGGTAGGTTTCACTTCACATATAGAATGATGGACAGAGGCTCATCTAATATTAGGAACATCTTATTTTTAGCTTTTGCAAGCTATTAAGTATAAAACTTTGCTGGTTCTCAGGATGAAATTTCTGTGGGGCATATGACACCTTCAATCATCTCTCTGATAACATCTAGAGTACTTGGAATAATTCTGCTTTAATTTAAGAGAACATTTAAAATCATGAAGCAAAAACTCAAGGAATGAAAAAGCAATTAAGATACATGATTCATTTATCTCCTAAATTTATATATATATGTATATATATATCAGTGTTGCTAAGTACTTTAGAAAATCTAGGCCAATCTGGGGATGTAACTCAGCAGAAGAGGGCTTGTCTAGCATGCATGTATGCATGTGGCCTTGGGTCCACATCCCTAGGATTGAAAAAGTAGTCTAGGCTGATTTGTGCAGATTCTTTCTGATGAAGTATACTTCTAGGTTGACAATGTTTCAAAGGAAAAGAAGGCATCTTGCAAAAGTCATGCTAATTCCAAATTTATGCTCATGCTAGGGAAATAATCTTGCATAGGGTCTTCAGAACCTGGGGTCCCTCATCCCCAGTGTACTGTGTTTGTGCAAGATTCTGTGAAAAAAGAAAAGCATTCAAAGGGATCTGTCTAGGATCTTTCTTTTTCTATGTTCCCCATCTCATCTTCTCTCATACTAAATAAAACAGTTTTCCCCCTCAAACTCATTTTTTTTGGATGTGTCACATATGTGTGCAAGATGGCTAGAAAGACTGGAGGTGAAAATCACTGGTCTAACCACACAGTAATATGCACGCTGTCCTTTTACATAATGCTTCAGAAGTATAAAATGTTTTCAGCACCATCTTCAAATGACCAATGAAGGAATCAACACCAGTTAAAGCCCACTGATTTGACAAGCTTTAGCATCTTATTTATATAGGCGGCTTCCTAATTCTCAATAGTATGTGTTACAACGTAGAAAAAAATGGATTCTATAATGATCTGAGAAGACATTTGTTTCCCACCGATGTGTTGTTCCACACAGCTGCCTTAGTGTAGGCCCAATCATCTGAAGTATGAATATCCTTCCTCCCCTCCTCCCTCCCTCCCCAGGCTGTCCTCAAACTCACTATGCATCCAGTAATACCCTTGAACTTCTGATCCTTCTGTCTTCAATTCCTGAGTGCTGGGACTAGGTGTGATACCTACTTTTTTAGGAGGTGCTGGGATTGTTAACTCAGGGCTTCCAACATGCTAGGCAAGCACTCTACCAACTAAACTCCACCCCCAGCTTGCCCAGCTGGTTTCTATCACATCTCGGAGAATGAATGTCTTGGAAGGGGGATACCTCTGGTATCTGTAACCCAGCAATGGCCCAAAGAGACGCACCTGGATCTGTGCCTCTGCATCTCTCACAGAGACGCTCAGAGAGCTCCCGGTGGAGCCGGAGCGTGGCCTCTTCTCCTGCCGCAGCAGCTCTGGGCCTGCGCTGAAGGAATGCCTCATCTGCCCTTGGTCCATCAGATGCTGCGGTCTCTCAAGCATCGGGGAGTCGGGGCCTCGGGGCCCCAGGGGCTCCCCCTTCTTATCTACCTTGACCTCCTTGGGAAAGGCAGGCAGGTTATGCTGCTGCCTCCTCTTCTTGTACTCAGTCATTAGCTTTGAGATGGTCTTATCGGCCGCCATGGTGTAAATCTTATTCCCCGCGCTCTCCCACCACTCTTTTTTGCGACCCGGATCTTTCTTCTCCACCTTGGGGCTGGGGGGCAGCATCAGTGTGTCCCCGCTGCCTGTCCTCAGGCTCAGAGGCTCGCTGGAGTGCTCCCTCCGGTCATCTTCGGAGGGCGTGTCTTTCCCAGAGAAGCCACCTGTGGATGGGGTGGAGGACTCGGACTGGAAGGAGGGGAGGATGAAGAACGGGTCGCTCTTGAAGGCAGGTGGTTCCTCCAAGCTACTCTCCAGGTCCAGGTGCATCTGGATGTAGTGGTTGCAGAGCTCCATGCACAGCTTGTGCAGCCGCTTGACCAGCCACACCCAGTCTGCGTTGCTCACCGGCTGCACACTGAGTGATGGCAAGCGTGCCCTCCACTGCCTTTTCTCCTTGCCTCGTGGGGGGCTCACCTGCGCGGTCTCCTCAAAGATATCTTCATCTTCTGATGAGCACTGCTGGGAGGAATCCGAACTTCTCTCTTCGTCATCGAATAGGACCTTCTTCACTTGCTCTGCAGTGATGGTTTCTTGGTTGGTGAGAACAGCGCAAACGAGGGCATGGAAATAAATGTTAAAGCTCATGGCAGACTGGCGGTAGAGGTTGGCGGCGCCCCCGATGCCAGACACTTTCTTCAGCAGGCACTTCAGCCCAGGGCTGGTGTCGAATTCCCGGGCCGTCCTGTAGGAGTCCAGCAGCAGGTCAAATATGACCGCGAGGTTCTGCATGGAGATGTACCTGAGGAAGCCCAGCTTGGTGTCCGGCGCTTGGACTGTCTTCTCTTCTCCGGGAGAGGGCCCTTTGACGAACTCTTCCAGCAGGATGTCATACAGATTCTGTAGGAGCACTTGATGAGACAGCAAGCTCACCACGATTTCCCGGAAAGAGACGCTTCCAGTTAAAAGAGAGGCTGGTTAGTGGCTTTCTGCCCTCTCAGTCAGATCTTTCAAAGCAATGCAACCATGACCCATCTGAATATGTGTGAAAAGCCAAACTCAAGCAGTTGTGCTCCAGAGTCCCTAAAAAATGTTTTTTACATCATTTCATTCTGTCTCTCTGTGTCATCGTCGTGGTGGTGTCTGGTAGTCTATCCTGTGTGTCGTGCCCCCCCCCATCACCTTTACCCAATGAGCCATTTTGCCTGCCTCCCTAATGTCCTTTTATTAAAAAAAAATTATTATTTTTATTTTATGTGTATGTGTGTGTTGCCTGCATGTAGGTTAAATGCACCTGTGTCATGCAATGCCTGCAGAGAACAGAAGAGGGTGTCAGATCCTCTGGGACTGGAGTTACAGACAGTTGTTAGCTGCCATATGGGTGCTGGGATTTGAACCCGGGTCTTCTGCCAGAACAACCAGTGTTCTTAACTGCTGAGCCATCACTCCAGTTCCCCTTAATATCCTTTTTTAAGAGAGGCAAACTTCCACTTTAATCATGGCTGGTGGAATTCCTGACACATTTTAAAATCTAGGAGCTGCAGAATATAAATTAGGGTACTGATTTCCCATTATCAAGTCATAGGAAATAAATACAATACTTTCATTAAAAATTAGAAACAGGTACAATTATGACCTAGGTCACATCTTTTCTTCCATAAGAGTAATAAAACCTCAAGTCAAGAGAGTAAGTTTTATCAATTTTAAGTGGATGCTCCCTACCTTCTACCCTGTTTTCTTAAACCCAGTGTTTTGTTTTGTTTTTTAAATTTTTTTCTGTCTTTTTTTGAGATAGGGTCTCCCTGTAGCCCAAGCTGACCTAGAACTCGCTATGTAGACCAGGCTGGCTTCCAACTCACAAGGATTTGCCTGACTCTGCCTTCCACGTGCTGGGATTAAAGGCATGTGCCACCATGTCTGGAAAACCCAGTATTTTAAAAACATTTATTAAAGCTCGTCTTTGCTACTAAAGCAGTTTTGCAGGAGTAAATGTAATGCTTTAGGTGTGTATTTACCAAACTTCAGCATTTCCAGTGTGTGCAGAAGACAGCCAAATATTGAAAAGTTTTATGCTGTCACTATCCCTAGCTGAAACTTGGATTAAAATGAGTAAGAACTGGGAATAGATGAACTTTCTGATAAGTGTCCTTTGTGTTTATAGCAATGTACCTTTTCTTGGTGTGCCCATTTGGTTTCTCATCAGGAGGAAGTTCAATGATGAGCTGACAGGACTGAGCATGATCGAAGTTGTTTGGCGTCTTTGGTGAGCACTGGGTGTCCAACATAAACACCTGAAAGAATATACAAAGGAACAGTTCAGAGTCCCACTTCTATAGACTCTACCAACACTCAGCTAGTGGCTCTGGGAAAGCTGTTTATTCTCTACCCATTTTTCTCACCTATAAAGTAGGGATGACAGTGGCTTCCTACTTGGCAGATATGATGCATTAAATAAATCGATATATGTTTATTACATATACAAGAACACAAGAACAGAGGAAGTAACAAATACTGGCTCTTGACACTAATAACATTAGTACTTCTACCACATTCACTATGATCCAAATGTCAAGTCCTGATGCTTAGCAGTAATGGCAAATAGAAGGTGGCTATGTTTGTAAAAGCTCATCTTTGTATACATATAATTTTCCAGTGCTGGAGACTGAACACAGAGTCTTGCCCATGTTAGGAGACACTCAGCTACTTTGCTACATCCCTTTATTTCTGATTTTGATATCTGTTTGGTATCAGGTCATCTTTAATCAGATCTTTAATCCAAATGACTTCATTTCTTGTGATTTAAAAGAACTTTAGAAATAGGGGCTGGAGAGATGGCTCAGTGGTTAAGAACACTGGCTGTTCTTACAGAAGACCTGGGTTTGAATCCCAGCACCCACATGGCAGCTAACAACTGTCTGTAACGCCAGTTCCAGAGGATCTGACAGCCTCTTCTGTCCTCCACGGGCATTGCATGACATGGGTGCACTTACCTACATGTAGGCAATACACGCATACACATAAAATAAAAATAATAAATAAAATATTAAAAAAGAACTTTAGAAATAGACTATTTTTTTGTCTTTTTTTTGAGACAGGGTCTCCTTGTAGCCCCAGCTGTCCTGGAACTCACTATGTAGACCAGGCTGGCTTCGAACTCACAAAGATCCACCTACCTCTGCCTCCCAAGTGCTGGGATTAAAGGTGTGCACACCACGCCCGGCAGAAATAGACTATTTTTTAAGGAAACTTCTTCTTTTCCAATATTGCAAGAATGATCTGAGTACTTACTGGGTTATTTTAACTGTGAATTTAGAAGGAAGGCTTGGGACTGAAGAAAGAGAAATATTAAGAAGTGAAATGATTCTCTGTTCTTATCCATTAACAATCATTTCAGAAGTGGATTCTACTTATATGTGTGCAAAAGAAAAGGCCATGGGCATGTGATGATATCTGCAGGTGCGGGGACATTTAAAAAATTACTTATTTTTATTTATGTGCTTGCACCTGCTTGTCTATATGTGCATCACATGTGTGCAGGTGCCCATAGAGGCCAGAAGAGGGCATCAGATTTCCTGGAACTAGAGTTACAGGCAGTTGTGAGCCACTTGATATGAGTGCTGGGCTATGTAAGACATTTTTGATGATTAGCTCCATTCAACTCAAATTTACTAGGCTGTGTAAAAATATTAAGGTCTGTGTTCTATATGGAAGAGAAAAAAATGTAAGGCATGTTCCATCTTTAGCCACCCATATTTAGCATCAATAGTATTGAAGCAAATACTTCTAAGTAGCCTAAGCAAATGTAGATGAAGTTCAGGGTGTAGGACAGACTCTGCTCTCAATGCTTGGGGATTCATTGAGCAAGGGACAGTGTAGAGAAGGAATGAGCTAAAGTCCTTCCATTCAAAAAATGGTACTGGCAAGAGGTTATGGCCTCAATGCGAATGTCCTTAAGGGAGTGAAACACAGCTTGGTGATGCGTGACATTCAAGTTAACTCTAAGTATGACTCTCAAGCTTCTGGAGTCCTCAAGACCCACACAGTTCAACTCTTACCTGCTGGGCCATGGCCCTGATGCGCCAGTACTCTGCTTCAGCGCTGGGGGAGGAGGATGGGGCTGCCACCCGCACCTGGCAGCCTTCCCCACTGAAGCTCTCTGTGCCACTGTGGAAGCAGCCAAGCAGGTCCTAGGGAGAAACAGCAGGCATTCATGTAGTATGCCTTGGTTCAGAGTGCCAGGCCGAATCTGGAATCTGACACTGGGCTAAGGACTGCCCCAGCACTTCTTTCTCAACTTCTGCAAGATTTCTCATGCAACTGCCTCCTCTGAGGAGGCAGGTAGAACCCAGGGACCCAGTTTGATCAAGCCTCAGGGGGCTAAGGAAGAAGAAAACAACTCTGGCTCCCTCCTGGCACTTTACCTTCACTGGCTTGAGTGTGGAGGAGAAGGCATCCTGCAGGGCACAGCACGCAAGCCGCCACATTTCCTCAGTGAACGTGGGACCCGCTGTCACAAGGACATACCTGCCCAAAGACATATGAATCGAGACGTTTTATTGCCACAAAGCTGAACCCTTATGAACTGTGTATGTTCTGTAGTGACCATGTTAGCCTTTCTGTCTTTTCTCACTCTTCCCTTCATCCATTTGGTGTTCCACTGTCAAAATATGATTTTCTGAACCATGTTAACAGAAATATCAATGGATTCCTATTGCCAAACAGAAGAACACTTATCATCAGGCTTGTATGCAAGATTATATATTCCCATTTTCTACCATTCCTTTACAAATAAGAAATAAACAAAACAAGACCCAAAGTCTCTCATTGTCATCATTTATTCTTATCTCCATTCACTTGTTATCTGTTCACCTGCTTGGTGTGTGTCCTCACCCAGTGAAAGCATATCCACTTGGAATAGGGACCGAGTGTCATCATAATCACCACCCACCTCATCTCCCTAGGTAGTTACCATCACCCCCCCCACACCATTCTTCTGTAACCCTCTCTCGGTTAGGTTACTTTGAATATTTGAGACAGAGTCTTGCTGTGTAGCCCAGGCTGGCTTTGAGCTAGAAATCCTCTTCATTCTTCCTCCTGGGTGCTGGGATTATAAGTGTGCACTATTCCCCTGGCTGTTATATCACCCACTCTTTTTTACTGTCCTACACTAAAGGGAGGCGAGAACCTAGTATCTAGTAATGTTTGCACAAGAAGCATTTCCTGTTCTTGTCACATAGGAACTGTCCTCTGGACCTTCAAATGGGGCTTGTTAAGAGCAGAGGTGGGGCATGAGAACAAGATCCCCAGACCTGAGAGACTCCCAAGGAGAGCCATGGGATCCAGGGTCTGACTGAGGCAGACCACTTGATGGTCAACGGTCAGCAGTGTGTTGGGGGCCTCTGTTATGTGAAGTAGAAGTCTCTTCATATCCGTATAGCTCACGAAGCTCGGAGTTATGTGCTGAGACTCCTTTAATAGCGGGGTGCCTTCCTGGCATTCTCCCTGACTCTCCTTTTGAAGTGCCCACCACAAATGCCATAACATAAACATGGCCTCTGGCTCTAGGAATACCATGCTTTCCTGTGTGATTTTTCAGGTAGTCAGCGGTCTGGCAGCATGGCAGAAATCCACTTCCAAATGCAAATAGAATGTCTCACAAAAGTATCTATCAGCCAAAGCTTTTACCACTACCCCCATGGTATAAATATCCCAGTCTTTCTCTCAATATCAGAGAGCTGGGTCGCAGACCTGCTGAATCGCAGAGAGCAGAGACACTTAATAAAGCTGTGACACGGGCTAAGCCGAATCTTGAGTCTTGTGTCTTACTACCAGCGACCCAGCCTCTCTGGGGGGCACATTCCTCCGTTACCGGCTCAAGAATCCCAGCTTCAGCCACCTTGCGCTCTCCTGCGTAATCCAGTGGCCAGTGGATTTCGCATCAAGAGGAAAGCGCACAGGGGGAAATTAAGGTGGTATACGGCTAGACAACGCTCCAGCAGCAGAGGCCCATAGAGACACGGAGAAGGCCACGGGGCCAGACCCGCCTTCCTCCAGAAGCCTGTGGACCTGCCATGCCATTCTGGGAGTGCGCGCAGGGACCCCGAGGTGCCCGCGCTCCCCACGCCAGGGAGCCCAGCGTGCGTGCACTATAGCAGTGGACTACCAAGTCTTGGGTTCTACTCAATATGCTCCACCATCACTTCCTACTGAAGAAAACTCTCTTCCTTTGCCTCCAAGGAAGCCCTTCATCACTTTCTATGCACCAAATCACCTTGGCTCAGTCCTTATTCACTAAGTATTTGCTGAATGAACACCCAAGGGAAGGACTATGAGCACATGGTTATCTGTACTTATAAAAAACAATCCCCAAAGTGAGTTGCTACCTTAAAAGAAAATTCGATTTCTCTGTATTCCTAAATAAAACTCCACCTTCGTGGAAAGCCAGGGGACCTTTTTCTCACCGTATGCAGGAGCAGCCCACTCTGGAGATGGTTTCTGTGGGCTTGGCTACACATGCCACGAGCAGTTCAAAGAGGTCTTTCAGCATGGTGTTGATCATACTCTCATACCTGATGTCTGCAGGGAGAAGTAACAAGACTTTACAACGTGGGCAGAAAGGGACAGAGTGAAATGGCCACCTGTAGCAAAAGAGGAAGGTCTGAGAGGTAGAAAGATACAGAGGTATTTGGGGAAAGAAATGGAACCATGAGAAGTGTAATGCTCCCTCCCCCCAAAAAGACAGCAAAGCCATGCTTTTATCCCAATTTTGGCATGTTTCATGTAGACACAGCATGATGAAATATGTGGTTCACTTTTAAGTGTTCTATGTTTTTCAAAGTTCAGCATATAATTAATTTATTCAAACAGGATAGAACAGATTATATGGCCTAAATATTAGTTTGTAAAAATTTAATTCTATTAAATAAATAAATGTAACACTTTAATAAGTAACAAGATTTGAGATAAAGAAGAATTTGTGCTTGTGTTTCGTCAGTCCAGGGAATTAAATCCAGGGGCTTGCATGTGGTAGATACATGCTCTTCCAGGTCTCATGTGGTTTTTAGATATTTGCATATGCCTGTGCAGGTAATGTGTCTGAAGATACTTCCTTTTATGTTTCTTTTTTAAATAAATAATCATTTATTTATTTATTTTTATTTTACACGAGTATTCTTGCCTGTATGTATGTAAGTACACCCATGTTGTGCAATGCCCATGGGGGTCAGAAGAGGGGGGTCAGATCCCCTAGAACTAGAGTTAAGGATGGTTGTTAGCCACTATGTGCTGTGAACCAATCCCAGGTCCTCTGCAAGAGCAGTCAGCACCTTTTTTTAAAAAAATAAAATTTATTTATTTTTTATTTTATATGTATGCGTGTACTGCCTGCATGTAGGTAAGTGCACCTGTGTCATGCCATGTCTGTGGAGGACAGAAGAGATTGTCGGATCCCCTGGGACTGGAGTTACGGACAGCTGTTAGCTGCCGTGTGGGTGCTGGGATTCAAAGCCGGGTCCTTTGCAAGAACAGTCAGTGTTCTTAACTGCTGAGCCATCTCTCCAGCCCCTCTATTTAAAAAAAAAATTTTTTTTTGGTCTTTTTGAGACATGGTTTTCCTGTAGCTCTAGCTGTCCTGGAACTCACTATGTAGACCAGGCTGGGCTTGAACTCACAGAGATCCGCCTGCCTCTGCCTCCCAAGTGCTGGGATTAAAGGCGTGCGCCACCATGCCTGGCTATTTAAAAATATTTCAAAATTTATTTTTATTTTATGTGTCTTGAGTGTTTTGCTTGCCTTTATGTAAGTGTACCACATACATTTAATGCCTGAAGAGGCCAGAAGAGGACACTGGATCCCCTAGAACTAGAGTTACAGATACTAGCTACAATGTGGGTGCTAGGAATTGAACCTGGATCCTCTGCAAGAGCAGCCAGTGCTCTTACCTACTGAGCCATCTCTCCAGCCTTACTGATAACTCAATTAAATTGAATTAAGTGTTCTTAGAAAACAAAACAATCTTTCCTCAGCTTGGTGGCTTTCCGAACCTGTTCAGTCTGGCTTCCATCTATAGACAATCTGCAGACAAAAAGAAAGAAAGCTTCCAAAACTCACATGCCCAATTCAAGGAATGCATCTGTAGGTTTTCCTTAAGGTCTTTGTGACACCACAGAAACAACTTTCAGTGGTGTCCTCCATAGTCCCTTGATGTACAAAGCAATTACCTGATCAGGAACATCAACCCCTGGAGACAATCCCACCACCTACATGTGGAAAACCCCTGCCTCCTCCATCTGTGTTCTTACTTTGCTGAGCAAACTGCCCTCACTAAACTTAGCACAGACACAGCTTCTCTGTGTCCCTTGGAGCCCACATTCTCTTTGGTCTCTCTATCGTCTCTAGCCAGGAGCCTTTCTCTCCCTTTACTTTGTATCCCTTCCTTTCTTTAGAGTCTGCTTAGCAGCTATGCTTCTTCTTCCTCCCAAACCTCCAGATTTTTCCATGGCATATCCTGAGTAAGCATCTACTTTCACAAAGGTGACTCCCCAGGGCCCTGTGCTGGTCTCCTGCCTACCATAGCCTCATTATCTGCTGCTTTCAACATACTAGCATATCTTTTCAAAGTGCCGTAGACATTGAGAAACTTTCCTTTATCCCTGTCTTGTTAAGTAACTTCTTGACAACCAAGCCTTTTCTGAGTCTATTTCCTCTATTTGCCCTCTTTAGATGAACAAGTCATACACCTCCCATTATCCCAGTTACAGAGACACAGAGAAAAAAGTTTATAATATACTTGAACTTGCCTTCCCTCTCCTTATGCACAGTTATGGTAGACCTACTACCTGGTGTTGTATTTTCAACAACAAATATACAGCATTCTGTTTGATTGCTTTGTAGAGGTACATGGTTATTAATTTTCCCTGTGATAATATGTCATTAGTTCACTGGCACTGACCATGTGATGCTATTTTAATAATTCCCAGGACAAAGGCATTTGCATAAGCCATCTACTAAGCACTATGAGATAACGATGCTGGCCCTTGAAGCAATACCCACAGTGACCTGCTCTGGTGCTGTAGCTACCTGAGTGGAGAAAGCTTTGAATGTGCTCTACCACCAGCTCGCAGGACAGACCAATAGCATGCTTGAAGTTAGCAGATGCCATATCCCAGTAGGAATGGTCTTTATGGCTACGACGAAGCCAAAGTGACATCACGGGAAGGAGAAGGTGGACAACTGCATAGATTCCAAACCCAGGTCCTGAAAATAGAAAGAGGAGGGTCAGATTGTGATCTCAAGGGGAGGCTCCTTGCCATGACTGGTATCAGAGACCTCTTTCAAAAAGATCCCCCTGTTCTCTGAGCAAGTGTGGGAAAAATTTACCCCTCACTGGGGGAAGGGCATGGCATGTTCTTTCTTTGTATTATTTTAGTTATACAGGTAATATACTAATAAATGTATAAAAATCCAAATATTGGGGCTGGAGACATGGCTCAGTGGTTAAGAACACTAGTTGTTTTTTGCAGAAGACCAGGGTTCGAATCCTAGCACCCACATGGCTGTTAACAACTATTCGTAACTCCAGTTCCAGGGGATCTGACAGCCTCTTCTGTCTTCTGCTGGCATTGCATGACATGGATGCACTTACCTATATGCAGGCAATACACGCATACACATAAAATAAAAACAATAAAACAAAATATTTTTTAAAAAATCCAAATTTTGCTGGGCGTGGTGGTGCACACCTGTAGTCCCAGCACGTAGGAGGCAGAGGTAGGTGGATGTCTTTGAGTTAGAGGCCAGCCTGGTCTACATACTGAGTTCCAGGTCAGCTGAGGCTGCAGGGAGACCCTGTCTCAAAAAGCCAAAAAAAAAAAAAAAAAAAAATCCAAATTTTGACAAAGCTAAAATACAATTTTATCACATCCTAGTCTTCAGATGTAAACACAGAAATACATATGTGCATGTGAGAAAGCATTATTTCAAAATATAAGTAGGTATTTATCCGGAACAGTGAGAAATAATGGTTTTATTTGTTGACAGATAAGAGTCTACCTGTGTTGCCAAGACTGACTCTGAACTCCTGGGCTCAAGTGTTCCTCCTGTCTTAGCCTCCTGAATAGCTGTGACTACAGTGTGACCATTTACTATCACACTGGCTTACAGCTTTTAAGACTATTTTTAGAATGTGAATTTTCCTTTTCATATTTATTAGTAAATTTAGATAATTCTTATTTTCACTGTCATATGCTATTTCCATTATAAAATATGTAATTTGAGTATAAGTTTCAGTACAGATGGGCATTTTAAAATACTGTATTCATTTATTTTTTATTTGATATGCATGAGTGTATTGCCTGTATGTTAGTGTAAGTGCACCCATGTTGTGCAATGCCTGCAGAGGTCAGAAGAGGGCATTGGATCCCCTGGAACTGGAGTTATATTTAAGATATTTCTATTTTTTATTCTGTAGACAATGTTATGTGGAAAAATCTTTGTGCTTCCTTATAGAAATGTTAAAAGATTTTAAAAATTTTGATTTTAAAAGCAAGGAAGTAGTAGGATGTGCTGGCACATGCCCATAAATCCTAGCACTTGGGAGGTTAAGACAGCTGGACTACCAGTTTGAGGCCAGGGTGGGCTACACAGTGAGACCTGACAAATAAACAAATAAGTAATTACAAGGCACCATTTTATTACAAACATAAAAATTACAATACAAAAGAAAATAAAAATTACATAAAAAGAATACAAAGAGGGAAAAAAACTTACCTACAGATATAGCATTACATTTTGACATATTTTCTTCAAGTAGGTTTTGAATGCACATGTATGTATATATGTATTTATAAATGCATAAAATTTCATTTGAGTGATCTTGCATTCCACATTTAAAATAATGCCTTATAAACACTTAGGTCATTAAATATTAGTCATAAATATTCCTTTTAATTATTACAGAAAATCTTCTTTACCATAATTTAGTTAACTGCTTCTCATTTAGAGTGTTCATGATTTTTATTTTAGTATTTAAGATATTTAAACATGGGGTCGGAGAGATGGCTCAGTGGTAAAGAACACTGGTTGTTCTCGCAGAAGACCCGGGTTCGAGTCCCAGCACCCACATGGCAGCTAACAACTGTCTGTAACTCCAGTCCCAGGAGATCTGACAGCCTCTTCTGACCTCTGCGGGCACTGCATGACAGGGGTGTACTTACCTACATGCAGGCAATATATGCATACACATAAAATAAAAATAATAAATAAAAGTTAAAAAAAGATATTTAAATAAAAGCATATATATTTTGCCTTTATTATTATAAATTCACTTAGATGATAGAGCCCTTGTAGAATTAGCAGCATTAAATACCATTCATACAGGTTTAGTGGCAATTAACCTGAAAACTGAAAACAGTACTTACTAACGAGATAGATTTACAAGTAGTAGCATATAATTAATTCTATAAAGTGCTTTTTCTTCAACTGAATGCTTTTAATTTTTAAAACTTTTTTTTTTGAGACAGGCTATGTAGTACTGGCTGGCCTAGAACTCACTTATGTAGATTAGGCTGGCCTGGAACTCACAAGGATCTTCTGCCTGTCTCTGCACCAGAGTGCTGAGATTAAAGGTGTGAATCACCATGCCCGGCCTGATTTTAGCTTTTTAACATATGAGAAAAGATGCTATGTTTTTTCCTAAAAAAATTCCAGTATAAACTTTGCAATGGGTTTTAAGACGGTGTTAACAATCAAGTCATTAGAAAGATGAATAGAGACTTTTTCTTCTCATTGTGGAATTAACTAGTAGGTTCGTTAAGGTTCTGATTCTTTTAATAAAAACTAAAATTTCTATAAAACGTCCTTTTGACCTGGGGAAAACTAGGATGAAGAAATATGTGTGTTAGGTTTTATTAATCCAGAATAAGGTATCTCTTTCTAAGGATTCCTCTTTTCCTATCTAGGGGTCTGTCCTAGGCAGTGTCATTTTTCCAGTGCTAATCACCTTGACAAGATGCTGCTTACTACTGCACATGCTAGTGGGGGGTCGTCTGTGTCAGTGGTGGGCCTGGTGCATTCCCCTGACAGCACTGGGGTTGCACGTACTGAAAGATTTGGTCAAGGAGGAGGGTTGTGATCACGGCATATGGCAAAGTTAGCCAGCTCATGGAGACACTGATTGCACAGACTGATTGATGTGGGGCTCCAACACCCCTAAACCACATGACTTTTGTAAATGGGCTGGTAAAAGAAACATAAAACATTCCAAAGCCATAACATCACTGTATTGTAGACATTCAACACTTATTTACTGAGCATGTGTTCTGCATGAAAGGTTGCATTAAATGTAAGAAACAGTGAAAATGGGTAGACATTTATAGAAATACCTTCCTGAAAATAGTTCTATGTATAACAACTCCTCCCCCAATAAAAACAGACATAGACATTTACCAGGTGTCTTGGTAATGTCTCTCAGTAGCTCAAAGAGTAAATCCAAGGTTGGTGGCTGGTGCTGTCGTGGACAATTGGACACAGCTGCTGTTAGCTGCTCCAATAGGATGATCCAGACTTCTATTAGACCTGAAGACCAAAAAGCAGACGTCTCTGAAACCCAGCTACACATCATAAAGAATCATTGCAAGATCCTAGCAAACACAACGTGGACATGCCAAGGACTAGCAGGTGTCAGCTGTCACCAGGGTGTTAGCCCTCGCCGCACACAGATTTTATGATTTATATGTTCTGACAGAGCAAAGGAAAATACAACACTCAAATTATTTCTCACTCCTCTATTTTTTTGGACAAGGTCTCCCTAGCTCCAACCCACTTGGAATTTACTATGTGGACCAGGCTGGCCTTGATCTCCCAGAGATCTGCTTGCCTCTGCCTTCTGAGGGCTGGGATTAAAGGCACATGCACCAGCCTGGCACTCAGCATATAAATTCTATATTGAAATGGCTGTCAGATCTCTTAGAAGTCAATAATAATTAAAGGATAAAATATCCTTTTTAGTTTTATTGCCTGTCGATCCTGTTTTTTTTTTTTGAGACAGTGTCTCATGTAGCCCAGGCTGGCCTCAAAGTCACTATGTAACCAAGGATGACCTTAAACTTCAGATTCTCCTGCCTCCATCTTAAAAATGCTGGGATTACAGGCACTGCCCTACTCAGTTTATATCCTGTGCTCAGGATCAAATCCATGGCTTCATGCATGCTATGCAAGCATGCTACCAGCTGAACTACATTCATAGCCTGCCTGTCTCTCCTTTAAAAACTGATTTTGCTGAGGTAAATATATGTAGCAAAATAGCATATATATAATCTATATTATAACAAAATTTTTCACTATTTTCAGATGCTAATTATATGCATCATGCTGTGTAACCATCACTACTCCCAAAACCTTCATCACTCTGTTACTATTAAGCAATAGCTATCCATTCTCCCTTCACTCCAGCCCCAAGTAACTTCTAATCACTATCACACGTGGTAATGGCAGGGTCTCTGTTTGCTACGGAAGGAGCTAGAGTTTACCATCTCTGAATGTGCAAGGCAATATATTGTCCACTTCTAGTTCAAATCACTCAAGGAACTGTCTTCCTATGTGCAACAAGCCATAGAGGTTATCTGATGAGGAGTACTGTTATGTACAAGGCTAGAAAACAGGCTGGGTCACCAGAGCCTTAGTAATTGGGGCTGTAATAAACCTGAATAAATGTACTAGTTGAAGTAATCTTTAACTTCCACTGGCTTCTGTGTTCTCTCCATCATGTATCTCTTAGAAACATCCCTAAAATTAACTACCTCAGCCCAGATACTAAATTTTCTGCCACTTCTTCACAAAGTTATTGAGCATTGTCTAAAAGGTAAGAAAGTGTGCTTTGGTCATTTGCCGCACTTCACTCTCTTGTGAAGGTCCCCATGTGCATGTAAAGTTAGTAAAACTTTTATGATTTTCTCTGATTAACGAGCCTTTGGTATTCACGGGGTTTCTGGATCTAGTCAAAAAGCTCACACAAGAACCAGGGAGAAGTAGTGGGATCTCGCTCCATTATCTCTCAAGAACACTTACTGAGACATTTACAGAGGCAATGCTATAATGTTTGGGTTTCCCCATGGACTAATATGGAAGAAAGAAGGAAAATATACATGACCGAATGTCTACACATTAATGATAGTTGAAAGAGGAAGATACCACCATGTCTAGCTTTGTATAGCCTATATATGCTTATATTTTATATATTTCATCTAGTTTTGTAAATGTCTGAATTTTCCATTGGATGGGAAAAGCTTTTATGTGCCTCAGACATCCAGAATATCTGAGAACAGCAATTCTGAGAACTGTTTACTCTCTCTCTCTCTCTCTCTCTCTCTCTCTCTCTCCAGTTGTGCACTGCCATGCATGCATATGTGGAGGCTAGAGGTCAATGTCAGGTGTCTTCCTTTATTATTATTTTTTTTTGAGATGAGGTCCCTCACTGAATCTGGAGTTCACTTGCCATATGGGATAGACTGGCTGCCAGTGAGGCCCTGGGACTCCTTTGTCTCTGCATCTCCCACCTCCAGGTCTCAGGCTACAGATGCACACAGCCATACCTGGCTTTTACATAGGTGCTTGGAATCTGAACTCAGGTCCTCATGGTTGCACAGCAAGCATGTTACCCAGCACATTACCTACTGAGCCATCTCCCAGCCCCCTGTTTAACTTTTGATACTAACTCAAAGCTTTTACTTTTATACTTTTTATTAAGTTTCATATATATTATAATTTTAAAGTGCTTGATGAATTGATAATTAATGATTGATGTGGGGAACTTGAGATAGACCCTTGGCTGAACTTCATCCCTCTGTAAGAAGATAGACTTTCTAGAACAAAATGGGTTAACAGTTTGCACCAATGAGAAGGAGGCTACTGCTATAACACATGAGTATTTCTGTTTTTAAAGAATGTTATAGGTAAATAACATTAGCTTCTGCTCATAATTATATTGGTTATAAAAATTATTCTTACTTAATCATTAAAATGAAACTTCCATTAAGCAACATATAGACACTTTTTAGTAGTTTCAATTATTCTATACATTCGATACTTGGTCTTTCCTATAATCTTTTTCTCAATTGATCTGATTTAATGAGATTTGATCATTTATGATTGCTATCAAAAACTGTAAACTTGGGGCTAGAGAGATGGCTCAGTGGCTAAGAGCATTGGCTGCCCTTGAAGAGAACCTGGATTTGGTTCCCAGCACCCACATGCTGACTCATTAACACTTGTAGCTCCAGTTCCGGTGGATTTGATACCCTCTTCTGGCTTCTACAGGCGTTGTACATGTGGGTGCACAGACATACACGCAGGCAAAACACTCATACACATAAAATAAAAATAAATCAATAGACAAGTACATTTTTTTTACAAAACTGTAAACTTCTAGCCAAGCCTGTAATTGAAAGACAAAAATTTAAAACAAGCAACAATAAAACATCCTCTAAGAGTTGTTTTACAAAGTTATGAAACCTATGCTTGAAAAGTAAGCCTAATCAAGGGTGTCATTTACATTTCTAGATGTGGAACAGGGCAGGGTCTTCTGAGACCATAGACAACAGTCATAAACAGGAGTTAATCCACCTGAAAATTACTCAGACTTCCTAGACTGAAATCTGACTCATAAGAGATTACTTGGGACCCAATTTAAACAAATTCATTTTTTTTTTTTTTGCCCTTTTTAAGACAGGATCTCCCTGTAGCCCCAGCTTGAATGGAACTCACCATGTAGACCAGGCTGGCCTTGAACTCACAGAGACCTGCCTGCCTCTGCCTCCTGAGTGCTGGGATTAAAGGCATGCGCCACCAAGTCCGCTACACATTCTTTAAAACTATTCTTTTCCTAACCCTTCAGCATCTTCAGTCACAGATTCTCTCTTCAGTAATGGCTTAATTTCTACAGGCTCTGCCCAAATGGTCTTGTAGAAAGTAATTATATAATGATTGTATTTACTCAAAGCTATTAAAGACAATTACCAGCCCATTTAAGTACCAAATGCAACTCTGTCCTAATTTGCTAAATTCAAGAGAAATCAGAGTTTGAAACATAGTTAATGGATCTGCACATCTGTGCTGGTTTTCTACAGAGGTGCTCAAGTGAAAAGGATGGGTTTCAAAGAAACAGTTATAAAGTGTTGGTTTTAAAAAGTCCATGGTAACTTTCTTATTATGATAAAATTATAAAAACCAAAGAAACAAATGATCATTCTTAATGATCTTCAAACTAACTCAATCTTAGGCAAACGCTTCTGAGATTAAGAACACAGCAAATGACCTTAGTCAACTAGCTTACCAGTGTCGTCATCAAAATCCGACAGGACTGATTCGATTCCATCCTCACTGCTTGCTGACTGCTCCTGAAGTCTTCGTGGCAAGCTAGCAAGTCGCCCACTAAGGAATATTGGCTTCAAGGGCATTTTATAGATCTTGGCCAATAACTAAATAAGAGAATCACCCCAAACATTGCAGTTATAATTTGGGAAACAGTAAGACACTACGTTATTAAAGGGGACACAGAAAACAAGAAGGGTTCCCAGTTTGTAAGTTATTTGTGATTTGTATTTCAAAGATACCTGATAAGAGGCGTTTATATCAGGAAGCAGATGAAATAGCATTCACTGGCAACAAGAAAGCAGTAAATAGATAATTTTCTGTATCTTAAATACATACAGGTTTTATAGATTCATGTAAACCTACTGAGGGAACTGTGAACAGGTCAAGCACTTTTGTCTATGGGGGATGTCTGAGATGAGTTCATAGGAAAAGAGACATCAGACTCTAGCTTCCCCTTCCCAAGACCCAACCTCTAAGGAAACAAAGGGGCAAGAGCAACCTGGGAAATGGAGGGGATCTGAGGGCAAGGTGGAAGAGACAAAGGTGTCATTCCTAGGCCACAAAAAAGACATTTGCTAATACTTTATGAACACCTTCTGAGGCAGGTGTGGGGTTTAGGGCCAAGCATGGGCCTCCCTAGTACCTGAGAACAGCGCCTGAGGTAATCCAGGGCAGGCAGACACAGGTCTGTGGATGTGGCTCCTGGTCCAGGGACACAGTCTCCAATTTCTTTACAGTCTACTTCGCCTAGGGCAGTGTGGGAACAGAGACAAACAAAATTACCCAGGTTCTCCCATTGTAACAGAAGACTTTCTCATTCATGTAGTTCATCACATTTTACCCAAAGACACACAGAAGGGAAAAAGGAAAAATTACATTAAATTGTACAACCCTGACAAAAATCCTATTAGTGAATTTTCTCCTCACAGTGCGTATTTCTTCTTTACTGTATTCCAGTGCCTTTGGTATCTAGAGAGAGACTTTTTGGATGTGAGCACACTGTAATTCACTTATATTGAATGATGTGACTTCTGAGGCTTTTGTGACAGAGGACAATTCCAGGGATAGGCCTTGTGCAGGGCTGGAATGAAGCACTTAACCTTCCTTTTTGGAAAAGGATTTTTATTTGCACATGGCACTAAATAATGTAAGTGAAGACTCTGGAAAGACTAAACACACGTGGTTTGGGGACATAAGCTACTTAATTAAATTTACATGCGTTTCATATGTATATATGTAGAGATTTACTCTCTCTGCACAAAGCCATCTAGGTTTTCTATAGGTAAATAATTGAGAATTATAATTTTTATTCTTGTTTCATGAATCTATTTCTGTATCTCTAATAAAATCATTACACAACACTGTAATTATAGCTAATTGTCTGCAATTGTAACAGTAAGCACCATTCCCTGTGGGTAAATAGACATAATTACTAGGCATTAGTTAAAATTCAAAGCAATGAGGCACATTTCTCCATAAAAGAAGTAAACAAACTCATGTTTTAGAGCAGGGTTGGTGAACTTTTTGTAAAGGGCCAGACAGTAAGTATTTAAGGTTTCACAGGTCATCTTGTCTGGACTGCAACTCCATTGCTGTGGCACGAGGTTAGTCACAGACAAAGGTGCATGGCTGTGTTCCAGTAAAATTTCATTTATAAAAACTGTTAGTGGGTCAGATTTGGACTGTGACTTTGCCAGCTTCTGGCTTATAATAATATGCATTACAATGAAAAGTAGAAACCAGGTCAAACGCAAGCTGAAGTAAGCAGCTGGAGATTAAAAAAAAAATTATTTCCTATCCTCTTGAATATAGCAGGTGTTCTAATTTTTTATATTATATACCCAGGTCTATTTGAATTGGTTTTCTGGGTGTTATACAGGCAGCATGGTTGCACTGGGGACTCTGCCTGTCCCACTGATTCCAAACCTTATACCTTGACCCTCTACTTTTTAAATCACAGAAGAAAATAGAACCTATCTTTTCAAAATATTTTCCATCTGTACATTAATAATTTGGCATCTGTGTTTTTCAGTCCTTAGCTTTTCTCTAAGATAAAATCTTAAATTTCTAACATGCACCTCTATCTGAATATTTCACAGAAAATCAATGTGTCTAACAGTTGTCCAAAGGAAAATTCGTTATTTTTTTTCTTTACTATGGTTTGAATTCTTGTCCCCACATGGTATGAAAACACTGAGTGGTAGTTTTCAAAAGGAATCAATTCATAGGTTTTAAATTACATGCTATTGTTAGCCCCCTGATGAACTGTCATATCATCCTGCTCTATCCTGCCCGGGATGCAAGCCATCCCTTTGTGCTCTGTATCGAGGCTGTGTGTGTTACCAACCTATTGTCATTTTATAGCCATTTGGGTTATCAGACTGATTGGCATGATATCAGGGCATTGTTATTATCTATTGTTAACCTCATATATCTCCTTCATAAATGAATCATTGGTATGTACGTATAGGAAAACACATAGCATACACAGGCTTGGTAGTATACACAGCTTTAGGCAGCTACTGGTGATCTGATACCACATGCCCTGTAGGAAGTGGGGGGCAACTGTATGCTGTAATAGCCCTTCTAATGAGGATCATCTAAAGTTGAAACTAATAGCAAGTAAGTCCTGAAATGTTCACTGTGTTCCTACTCTAAAAATAAGGATGACATGAGTCAAATAACTTCCTTTTACATACTTTTTTTTTGCAAAAGAAAGATCAATTATCTAGCAAGAAGATAAAAGAATATCAACTTTATATTTTCTTTATTTCCAAGATTCTCAGACTCTGAGTGTAGGAGGTCTCCATGTAAAACTCTCAAATGTTCAAATTCCTTCTAAACTTTTGATTTGCTTTAACTCTGTGTCTTCTTTCCATTTCACTCATATGAATTTGTGCTGTATAAAGCCAGCTCCAATAGGTCATGCTGTCTAGCAGGACTTCATGCTGTTAACTGTTCCTAAATTAAGCAGAAAGCCAACTAGATAATTCCTAAAGTACACTAGGACATCAAGAAGGGGAGTGTCTACTCATCCAAAATATACATTACAATAAAAAAGCCCAGGGGAGGCATTCTTAAAAAGTTTTTAGGTTGGGGCTGGAAAATGGCTCAGTAGTTAAGAGCACTGGCTGCTCTTGCAGTGGACCTGGGTTCAATTCCCAGCACCCACATGGTGGCTAACAACTGTCCACAACTCCAGTTCCAGGGGATTTGATGTCCTCTTCTAACCTCCGCAGGCACTGGATGACATGGGTGCGTTTATATACATGCAGGCAATATACTCATACACATTAAATAAAAATAGTAAATAAAGCTGGGTGTAGTGGTGCATGCCTTTAATTCCAGCACTCAGGAGGCAGAGGCAGGTGGATCTCTGTGAGTTCAAGGTCAGCCTGGTCTACAGAGTGAGTTCCAGGACAGCTGGGGCTACAGGGAGACCCTGTCTCAAAAAGATTTAAAAAAAAGTAAATAAAATATTAAAAAAAAATTTAGGCTACTTACTGTGTTACAATCGAGGACAGTGGTTTCTACATAAGGGCAATTACTAAAGATTATAGTGAATATTTAAGATTGAAAAGGGAGTCGGTATAATGTATAGATTGAAAATGTATCAGATCACAAAATATTTGTATAGATAACAGTGGAAAATATCAACCCCAGACTTGCACAGTAAGCTTTCTGATGCCCAAGGATGCAACTCAAGCCACCCCAGGATGTTTGCTTGTTCTAGTGGTTGAAGCACTGTCTCCTGGGATGCTCCTATAAAGCCATTGTGAAAAGGATCTGCAGTGGCTGTGAGGCATAAAGGAAGGGTTCTACTTACCCAGTCCTTTGACAAACTTCATAAGGCACATGATGTAACTAGTGGCTGCATTCGCGAAGACCTGGATGTTGTCAGTGTTGAGAAAAGCTTCAAATACATCAAACACGGGAGCCTGGCCTTTTCCTGAGGGAGGAAGACCATAGAATCTTAACACAGGGGAGGCTTCTATCCTTCAGGGTGCTTTTGCTTCCAGCATCTTCCAAAGGGTCTTAGGAAAGATTGACTGGAGACCTTTTGACTGGGCAGCTGGCATGGCTGTCCTGCTGTTTCATCTTCTACATGGCAGCAGTGGAAAGGCTCGGAAGAATGCTGGGTGGATACAGGAGGGTGAGGCATAAAGGAAGGGTTCCACTTACTAGGCATACAGGCCTGTAGCAATATGTGGGTCTACAGAACAGTGAAATACGGGGCCTCTGGAACACTGCAGCACAGATAATAGTAATGTCTGCAGGCAAGGGGAAGGACTGTTTAGATCAGACCATTATGACATGTACTTATTTATTCCACCCTGTGCAGAAGTCACAAGTCTGCTTGCTGTAGGAAAGCCTGCTTGCAAGGTTTGCAATAAGATGATCCTTGGTTGGCATCCGGGAACTCAGTTCTCAGAATATTCATGGGCAAGTTATCTCATAAGGTGGTTCCCTGTGGCTAGACTGTGCAAATGATATGGTTTTATACGGGACATCTGTGTGTCTATGTGACCAGTTTCCAGCTGTGTCTCTAACTAGCTTTCTTAGCCAGAGACATCACAAACTTGCTGAATTTTCACTTTTAGGGGAAGAATGAGAGACATCTGTAGAGCATTTGTAGGATTTCTCCAAATTCTATGTCTTCTTTCCTTATGACCTGACTGTGCCCATACTATACTGCCATAGTAAATCTTAGTTTTGAGTCATGGAATGAACACAAGCCATGTAATAAACTCCATCATAACTGCATGCTCTGTCCCATGAATTTTTATGCTGGGTTTCTGAATGTCAGGTGCGCTTGGAGACTGCTGAAATAATACCCTTTGGCCCTGTGCATGCCAGTCCATTTTCAGCCAGATCTTCTCTCTCTAATTCTGATTCTCCTGTATTACACATTTCTGTTTTCTTAGCAGCAGATGGATACAGGTTGAGAATCTCCTCTCCTAAATGCTGGGGACCAGGTCGGTGTTTCAGTTGTTGGAGATCAGAGCTGTGAAATATTTGCATAGACTATTGAAAATCTAAAATCTGAATGCTATGAACCACTAAAACAATTTTGGATTTTGAAGCATCTCAGACTCTCAGATGCTCAACTTATAAGATATTTTTCTCTTTGGTTTTGAGAGGGAACTCTATATAACAATACAGAGTGAATCAATTGAAGCCTTTCAGTGTTTTGTCTACCTGTCAGCATGAGCAGGTTTTGATGAGCTCAAGGCTCTGGACCAGCTGGCAGCAATCAGACCCCAAGTCCTGGTTCCATATTATTTCCTGCTGACAAAACAGGGCTGGCAGAATGTCTCTGTTCTCCTTCAATTTCTTTTACTATCATTAAACTTGGCCTACAGAACAAAGGTGCTATAAGAAGAGTCGCCTGACCATTCTTACCCATGGAATAGTCCCCGATCAGGTATTCCTTCACTTCTGACTTGTTCCCACCATGCACTGTTTCCAGGGCACTGAACAGGGGTCTCCATCCTGACTGGATCTGTGTGGAGTACACCTCAACCAGCTCCCCGATAGAGGTGACCACCTGCACAAGCAAAGAGAGTGCAAGTAGGATTTCAAGGAAGGGTGATGTACTTCTCTGCCCCCCATGGCTGAGTTACTTTTAGCGAAAGAGAAAAAAGACACAACGCAGGCATTTACTAGTAACCAAAGCTTCTGAGCAACTTTTCACAGGTTCGTTGACCTTAGTTTGCTGTTTTTTGAATTGCTTGTTTCCTTTTGGCTTTTTATTGAGAGATGTTAGTGTGCTTTATGTGTTGTGGATTCAGGTCCTTCCTGAGATACATGATTTGCAAATGTTTTTTACAACCTTGAGCTCATCTTTTTATTGTTATACTTTTATTGTTGTAATTTTATCTTTTATAGAATACAGGTTCAATTTTGATGAAGTCTGATTCATCAATTTTTAGGACAATGTTGCTGGTATTGCATCTAAGAAATCTTTGCCTAGCTCATGTTTTTGATGATTGTCTTCTACACTTTCTTCTACTTATAGTTCTTATTCACATTAAATCATGACAGATTTTCAGTTATTTTTGTGTGTGTGTAAGTGGTGAGAAGTAAGTTCATTTTTCTTACATATGTTCAAGCACTGCTGGCTGAAAACAATAACCCTCCTCATCCGCTGAATTATAGCAGTGTTTTGTCACAAATCAGTTGACCATAAACATGAGGACTTATTTCCCTTCTCTAATCTGGACATTAATTTCTTTTTAAGTACTGCTTTAGCTATATCACATAAATATAGTGCATTGAAGACATTTTCTAACACTGTGATTTCTTCACTGATTTATGTGATACTTAGAATTCCGTTGTTTGATTTATAAATATTTGGGTATTTCCCAAGTTTACTTCTTTTATATATTATGAATGTAATTCCATTATAGCTAGAAAATATATATTGTATGAGTGAAATTCTGTTAAGTACTGATACTTGTTTTGTAGTCTTTATCATGAAGAATTTTCCACATAGACTTGATAAGCACATGGAGACACTGGGTGACAGTGCTGCTTATTTTCTTTATGCTGATGTACTATCTAGTTGCTCTATAAATTACTGAGAGAAGTGTTGTAATGTCTTATTATACATTTTTTTCTTTTCTTTTTCTTTTTCTTTTTTTTTTTTTGTCTCTTTGAGCCAGGGTCTCCCTGTAGCCACAGTTGGCCTGGATTCAGGAGACCAGGCTGGCCTCACACTCACAGAGATCTGCCTGCCTCTGCCCCCCAAGTGCTGGAATTAAAGGTGTGCCCCACAGGTCTGGCCTTATACTTTTAAAATTATGATAAAATATATGTAATGTGGGGCTGGAGAGATGGCTCAGTGGTTAAAAACACTGGTTGTTCTTGCAGAAGACCTGGGTTGGAATCCCAGCACCCACAAGGCAGTTAACAATTGTCAGTAACTCCAGTCCCAGGGGATCCAACAGCCTCTTCTGACCTCCAGGGGGCACTGCACGACATGGCTGCACTTACCTACATGCACGCAATACACACATACACATAAAATAAAAATAAATAAAATTAAAAAAATATATGCAATGTAAATTTATCACTTTACCAATTGTATACAGTTCATACAGTTTAATGACCTTAAAGTAGACCATCTCTCACTGAGTCTGGAGCTTGCTAGGCTGGCTGACCAGTGAGTCTCAGGGATTCTCCTGTTTTGGCCCTTGGCAGCACTAGGATTGTAGGTGTGCATAGCCATGCCCAGATTTTTATGTAGGGTCCTCAACCTTGCCTGGCAGGCACTGCACTGAGCCATCGCCACAGCCCCTACACACATTTTTTACTCATGTATCTTCCTGCTATATTGACCTAGTTATAATTAGAAAATGTTTATTTCTAGTAATATTTTTTCATTTGTCTTTTTTTGAACTAACATTAATATAGCTACTCCAACTTGCTCAAAGTTAGTATTTGCATATTTATTTATTTATTTTTTATTTTTTAATTTTTACAAAACTTTATTGAGAATTTCATACATACATATAAAGTGTTTTGATCAAATCCATGGCCACTCCCTCCCCTCCAACATTCCCCCTCTGAAGAGGTAACCCTAAAATCTTTTAAGGATTAGATACAAGCTCCTAAAAACTTCTGACACTTTTTTTTGGCCTTGGAACAGAGTATGTTTCCCCCTTTTCTGAGGTCATTTATTTTTACAGTCAAACATTTTCATAGTTTTAACTTTCTTCCATTTAAAAGGAAATTAAAAAGGTTTATTCAACATATGAATGGATTTTAGAGAGCGGCCTGCTGTGTTCTTGACCCGCCATTGTGTTAGGTGTGAAGTCTAAGTCAGATGTGGGTTGGCTTCTTTCATTTGGTCCCTCATTAGAGAGGAGGACTGTGGTTAGTAGATAAAACAATAGACCACTCCAAATTCTCTAGATCCAAGTCCCAGTTCCACCAATCACTAGGTGATCTTACCCAAATGCTTAATCCCTCTTTGTCACCAATTTGGGAAGATGGTGCAGGCAAAGCTCAGAGAACAGTGCCTGTCCTTGCCCTCACTGCTGCCCGAGTCTGGAGAGGATGATGCCAACCCCCATGTTATACTGACCTGGTCTTGGACGTCTTCATCACAGAGTTCCAGCTGCATGATACGCTCAAAAGGCCGAAAGAGTGCTTCATTAAAGTGAAAGTGAGGTGGCTCGCTCCAGTCAGTGAGAACCTCAGTCAGGATGTCATGGATGAAAGAAACAGCCTTCTGAGACACGTGGCGTTCCTTATGGCAGGCGGCCTGCACAAGGCAAGAGACAGCTGAGCACCAGCAGGATGTCAGTCAAGGAAAATGTGGCTTCTGAAGGCCCAGAATCCTAGCTCACTACAAAGGTGGAAGCAGCACCTTTAACATAAAACATTCTAAGGGGTGGAGAGATGGCTCAGTGGTTAAGAGTGCTGGCTGCTGTTGCAGAAGACCTGAATTTGGTTGCGTGTACCCACATGATGGCTAACAACCATCCATAATTCCAGTTCCAGGGTATCCAAGGCTCTTTTCTGATCTCTGTGGGCATCGCATAACATGGGTACACTTACATACATGCAGGCAATACACTCATATATGTAAAATAAAAATATGTAAATTTTTTTAATTCTAAGGAATTTTAGTATATAGATGACATGTACATTTGAAAAATTTAATCAACTGATCAGACACAACTCCAAAGTTAACTTAAATTTTCTGAAAAAATAAAAACAAAAGTGTTTCTATTATTTTCTTTTCTGTAACATGACATTTTTCTTCAATGATATAGAACATTCTCACCATACATGCACTGGACCTTCTGGGAACTGCTTGTGGTTCATCCTTAGTCATCCCCCAAACATGTTAAGATTAGATGAGTCATTTGTCCATGAGTGAGGTGGGCCAGTTGCAACAAGAGTGCTAACTGGTTCATACACTTTGGATCTATGGTCTTCAGTGATTCTCTCCCACACTGACCCTGAACTTTGACAGGGGCCTTGCTTTGGTTGATCTCACAACAGGAACCAACCACGCCATAAATAAGTAAAGCTAGAATATGGGGTTTGCCCTCTTGCTATTTGGGGGAGTCCCAAGAAAGCCATATGGTCTGCCAGAAGTTACTGTATATTAGAGACCCTGTAGAGAGAGAACTATTTGCCTACCCTTACTTCTCTGTTAAAGTCATTAAGAACCAGCTGGTGCCAGCCTTTGCATCAGCTGACCATGCATGTATAAAGAAGGCCAACTGGGATCAGCCAAGCTAGCCCAGACCAGAACTACCAGAAAATCTTCAAATTTCTGACATTCAGGATCATGAGCTAAATCAATGGTAACTGTTTGAAGCCCCTAGGCTTTTAGGATAGCTAATTATAGTGTAATATATAACTGCTATGCTCTTTGGCCTTGACCAAATTGATATTTCTACCTTTCATCTTTAATAGTCTGTCCTTGGGTTAGTAAATTAAGTTCCATGAAATATTTTCTTACATATCTTTACTAGGTAAGCATAGAGGGCTTTTATGAATAATTAGCACTGTAAACATGGCAATGATTTTCCCTGTCAGCTTGGCTAGTCATCATACATTGAGATACTTATATGTAGAGCCACCACAAAATTGATCGTAAAAACTGCTTTCCTTTGGAGAGTGGAAAGGTGTTAGCATTAATTTTGTTGGGAAAACCAAGACACATGGTTACCCTTGTGACATCACATTGTCCTGATGTCAATTCTAATTGAGTTATTAGGAAAGAGAGAGTGACAAGAGCCAAAGACATTCCTCCCAAGGGAAGAATTCATTTGGAACTCTCTATCTTTTAGCTCCAGACTCAGGTTGAGAGCAGAGCATACAGAATGAAAAACTGGCTCTGGAAGGAAACCAGCTGAGTCGTATACTTGAAAAGAAAGAGGGCCTGCCTTGTGCGTGAGCCTTCAGATAGATGCCTTGATGTGTCATCAGAGAGCAATGATGCATGCAACCAGGCAATGGAAAGGTTCTCACTGCCCTATGGCCATGGCCTTTTTTGTCCTCACACTGAATGCAGCCCCATGCTGGCTCTGCTGCAGGACTTCCCAGCGCTGACTGCTCCAGCCTCTTCCCACCTTGATATCTCACCTCTACTAGGTGTGGGGCCACAAGGCTCCAGCAGCGCATCACATGGAGTAGGGGCCGTGCTTTGCTCCGCACAATCCTCAGCATGGCATCCCCCAGGCGGAAGAGATGCAGAGCACTTTTGCGATCCTGAGTAGACTTAACTTCTCCTACAGCGAGGCAAGACCAGAAAGGCCAAACTCAGAAATAGTCTGGTCTGACTGACTGCAGCACAAAGAAAGGTTGAAAATCAAGGCAGTGTTCTTGGACAGGGGGACTGTTCCACATGGCTCATCAAGTGAGGAGAGGGCCTTCCATTCAAAACTAGCTAGGTGGTTCACACAGTAGCCCAGCACCTCTCTCTTTGATTCACCTGTGTTCCCCCCTCAAACTCCAGTTTGCAGGGACACAGAGAAGAAGGAACTAGCAGTAGTTTAAGTAGGAAGGCTGGAGAGTCAGACCCATTTAATAGCTGTATTAGGATTGGCCAAGGATTTGCCTCTAACACCCAATGATTTCACTGTAAAACTGGGGGTAAGCAAATCTGCTTCTAAAGTTCCTTTAAGGATTGAATGAATGTGATGATCCACATCAAGTGCTTAGCATGGGCCCTGACATACTGATGAGTGCTTTAGCTCTAAAGGTTACTAACTGTCATCCTCCACAGGAGCTAGCTGTTGTCATCAGAGACCAGGGCTGCTTCCTCTTTACTTCCTGATACAGTTTCTTCAGCGACAATTACCTGGCATTGCCAAAGAGTAATCAACTGTATCTGTCACAGAATGGAAAAGCTGGGACTGCGATGCTTTCTTCAACTGGTAGAGGAACCCTCCTAAGGCCATTAGGTTCAACTTATCTGTAGCATCTTCAAAGAGCCTGGGTGCAAACAGAGAGGATCTGTTAAGCGGGAACAATTCAGCAAGGGCTTATGGCAGAATGATTATGGTAATTTTGTTGATGTAATTAATGAAAATGCTGTGTAAACACTGTAGATAAGTGGAAGGCATTATTATAGCTATTATTACTGTGCACAAGTCTGTGCTAACCATGAGATTTTGATACAAAGATCAGCACAGAGTGTATTTAAAAAAAACTTTATTTTTTATGTTATGTGTATGAGTGTTATGGCCACAAATATATAAATGCATGAGTATCAGGCAATGCCAATAGAGGCCAGAAGAGGGTATAAGATCCCCTGGAACTGGAGTTACAGATTGTTGTTAGTCATGTGGGTGCTGGGAACTGAACCCAGGTCCTCTGCATGAGCAGCCAGTGCTCTTAACCACTGAACCATCTCTCTAGCCTGCAGAGCATAGTTTTAAAAAGTCTTTCCAGCTCAGCGATAGTAGGCACTCCTAAAGTGTTGGTGTGAATGTGAACTATGACAAAGCATTTCTTTCCGAAATTCAGTAACTGGAGATGGAACCTCATAATCAGCTACAATTTCATATGTGCATACATATATGTCTATATATTTAAAGCCCAGTAAATCAACCAAGAAACCTATAACTCAGCATATGCTGAGATTGGTGCTAAGGAAGATACAAAAGCAGCTAAGACCAGATTCTGTAAGTTGCCCCAAGGGTGGGGACTTGCCTTGAACACCCACAAGGCCTTGGATATTATGGGAGCTCAAGTATCTGTTGGAAGAAAGATTATTTCATAATATGACGGCTAATGGGTCTTGAAGGCTCTGTTTTGCTTTCCAGACAACTGCCTAGGGACATTTCCAGCAGAAGGATTTAAGGAGGAAGAGGGCACATGACTGGAGGCAGATCCCAGGGCCCTGCCGTGGGGGTGAGTGACAAAAAAAAAGATCAGACATTAGGTTCCTGTGGCTACAGTGAGAAGTGGGGCAAGCCAGCTTGTTCTTGGGTCATGTGTGACCTGCCTTCCAAGCCTGTGATGATGTCAGAATTCAGGCAAAAGTGTGGGATGCCATGTGCTGCTCAAGGAAAACTGTCTTTAAAAACAATGGAAGAAGTTTCTTTTGGAAGGAACAGATGAGCCACCAAGCTTTAAGATGAAAATTAGTAGTTAAATATTTAACAATTATTGAAAATATTAACATATTTTCCTTGCTATTTTGTGATTCCAATTTAGATGCCACTTGGATTCCGGGTCTATTAGCCATTTCTTTGTCCTCTGTCCTAGTAAGATGATGGTGGAGCTTATACCCTACCTGACACCCACTATCACGTCCCAGATTCTGACAGACTTTCATAGCCAACTTATTGGATAAACAGGAAAGAGTGACTTCTCTTCCTGTTAAAACATGTATACTGTCTGAGCCAGTGGGGGAATTGAGTCTTAGTACAACTGTTTTTATAGATATTACCAAGCTGGTCAGTGTTAAAGGAGGAAGTAAGGGCTGTCTGAGCCCAGCCCAGTGACTGCCCTGCCCACTGCCCCATTGCTACTTGTCTCTCCTCTTTGAAGGAAGTCTGGGCAGAGGGACTACATGCTGAAGGGTGAGATGAGGTGACACCATGTGGCTGGTGATCTCAAGTACTTTTAACATTAAGATGGTTGAGGGAAGAGTTGATATTCCTTCTTTACCTTAATGTGGCTCTGGGACATCAATAAGCATCATACTTTGGTGTGGGCTTTTTAAATTTTTTTTTTGTATTTTTGAGACAGGGTCTCCCTGTAGCCCCAGCTGGCCTGGGACTCACTATGTACACCGGGCTGGCCTTGAACTCACAGAGACCTACCTGCTTCTGCCGACTGAGTGCTGGGATTAAAGGGGTGTGCCACCACACGTGGCTGGTTGACATTGGTTATCTTCCTTGATTGCTCTCTCTTCACTTTATTTATTGAAGCAGGGTCTCTTCCTGAACTCACAGCTTGCCAATTCCTGCTAGTACTTAGCCAGCTTGCCCTAGGGATTCCTGTCTCTGCCTCCTGAGTACTGGGATCACAGGCAGCCGTTATGCCTTCCTGGATTTTTATGTGGGTCCAAACTCTGATTCTCATACTTTGTGAAGCAAATACTTTAAGCACCAAGCCATCCCCCAACTGTGCTGGTTAGCTTTTGTCAACTTCACACAAACCTAGACATACCTGGGAACAGGGAATCTCAATTGAGGCATTTCCTCCACCATGTTGGCCTATGGGTATGTCCATGGGTCATTTTCTTGATTGCTAATTGATGGAGGAGGGCCCAGTCCCCTGTGGGCAATGCCATCCCCTGGGGAAGTGAGCCTGGGCTACATAAGAAAGGTAGCTGAGCAAGGCAGGGGAAGCAAGCCAGTAGGCAGCACTCATCCATGGTCTCTGCTTCAGTTCCTGCCTCCAGGTCCCTGCCTTGGTGACCCTCGATGGTAGACTATGACCTGTAAGCTAAATTAAACTC